TTGCTGAACCCTAACAAGACATTTCGCTGTCATTGCAAATAAAGGAGCATTTGCTTCTAATGTGATGTAATTCACGGGATCTGCCATGTTCATACTGTTGCCTGAAATAAGAAATGGCACTGTCATAAATATAATTTAATTAAACTACAAACCTGTATTTCCTTGTCTGTGAATAAAATCTCCTCTTCCGCAAAAGATCAATACTGCAAAATATGGTTGATATAATCGCTGCAGTAAACCTAGTCCAGCACCATCTTGGTCAGCAACAACAATCAAGGCCTTAAAAATTGCTAAAATTATTGACTTGGGGGGAACACATAAAGTTTTTATCTTATCTTCTATCCTGGATATTACATTTCAAATCGCTAAAGAAAAAATTGATAACTTTATACTCGCAAATATCATAATTCCTCTTCTATTCTCTTTAGTTAAGGAAGAATGGTGATACAATATAACAAGAAATGTTTATTTATGTTAAGTCGATAGAGGTGGGAATGACAATTTTCGCTTTGCAGCCAAGCTTACGGAACGCACTAAGAGAGCAACAGGCAGAAATGGCAAAGATAGATTATTTTTCAAATAAGAGTCGGGCTGAGACTAAGTATCAGACATAGACTGGATAGTTCTGCCGTAAAGTCACCAAAGTTGCTCAGGAAATTATCTCTTTTGAATAAATCTTTAAGGCTATGTATATATCCTAGGGTTCAATCAAATGCATCACTTTGGTCACTTTTTTGACTGTGGTATAAGTTTATTCAGTGTGCGCCATTGACCAATTATATCTCGGCATTAACTGCATACGTGTGCGATATGCGAATATAGTAAGCCTACCGCAAAATCTACCATACCTTCCCCAGGTTGTCAACAAGACTTTGTTGTTTTGAGTGCTTTTCAGCGAGATAATCATAGCTGAATGAGGTGAAGACTTCTGAAAAAAGTTAGGAGTTCAGTGTCTATTTAGGGATTTTTGCAGTTTCAACTTACCTGCAGGCTCTGATTTTCTACACCAATTATGCAAATCTTCGGCATACTCTAGCTTTTGTTTCATTCTTTTCAAGGCCTGCAATCCCGAGTTTTCAATAGAAACTCAGAAAAAAATCTTTTTTTAACCTTTTTGCTGTGGTTTAGAGGCATATCTGTAATGAGTTCAATATGAGCTGGGTGACAAGTTGGTTCGTTGTCTATGCTACCGATGCAGTCTGCCAAGAGTGGTCTAGTTATCATTTTGGGAAAATCATACCTTAAGACAAACGACATTCTGTAAAACTTTCAGCATCTAGCATCTCTATTTATATTACAGTACCCTATTGATTTGAGATCATCTATCCATAGCTTCACCAAGTGAGCGTCTTTCTTCTGCCAGAAGCCTAGCCGCCTAAAATTTATTAAATTGGGTATATAAATTGGTAGATAGCTAAGAATATAGACTGACCCCAACTCTTCAGCAAGTTCTACTGCGCACGTGCTGATATCGCTGGATTCGCAATGCCATGATTCGAGCAATTCTACAAATTCTCCAGATTTCATATACACATCTCTGAATGGTCAATTTTACTAATAACAAAAAAAAAGAATAGCTCGGCAATTACTCACAACTCTTGTTCAAAATCAGCCAAATAGTCGTGTGCATTTCTAAATTGTATAGCATTCACTGGATAAAAAGCCACTCTTTCGCCAACGAGATGCAAAAGTTTCTGGGCAAAGTATGAGCGCCATATATCAGTCACCCTGCAATTACGTTCATATTTTAAAACTTAATCTCCTGTTATCAATAGCATGGTAAACAGAACTAATTAATAAAGTAATTAATATTAAATGTTGTAGGTAGCAAATACGCAAGTTTGAAATCAGTTAATGGAGTTGCTTGAGCTTTGGAAGAGGAATCTGCCTATACATAAACCTCTCCTACCCTCTAATGGAATCA